TCACCTTTTGCCCAAAGCAGGGACCATAACAGGGGCTATAACCCTGGGTCAGAGTGGACTTGGAACAACATCAATTACGAAGTAGATCCACGCTCCTCAAAAATTTCCCGTACGGAGTCTTTGTTGTTAGATACAGTTTATTATCATGCCTAAGAAGAGGAATACAGTTTAATTTCTTTAAGAAATTGTAGGATATTATATGGATTACGTTATGAGATTATGTTATCCTTGATAATGGCTAAAAGTATAGCCGAAAGCGCTTGGACATAAATAGCATTCAGACATCTTCTACATACTTTACGGCCAGAAAAGAAAAAATAGAACAAAAGAAAAATAAAATACAATACATACATACATACATTACACACACACACACAGACACATATATATATATATATATATATATATATATATATACACGGACACACACATATATATATATATATATATAACACTGATGATGATAATATATTGGTAGAAATCATGTTAGTAAAAAAGTCAGTGGTCTAATTATTTTATATCTTATATATATATATATATATATATATATATATACACACACCTATATATATATATATATATATATATATATATATATATATATAAGCAGACGGTTCTGTACAAGCATGAAGTAGACTGTTGGTATCCAGCGTTGATACCTTTATGCTCGATGCTTATCTGATGACGTTTTCTTCTATAAATATAGCAAACATTAACTATATATATATATATATATATATATATATATATATATATATATATATATATATATATATATATATACATGCTTTGAGTCGGTCTGTTCCAATCTGTTTACGACTATTCCTGTATTGATTTTTAGACAGGAATATAGAGATTCGTGAAAAAGTACATTAGCAAAGACATGCACAAAAAATCCTACCAGAATTTGATTAAAATGTTTTATTCAGTCTCACGAGTTTATGTTTCTATCAATCGGAACTGAATGTTTTCTTCCTGTTTCTTTCTTTCTTAATCAATATTTCAGGTACAAGTTTTGCTGTTCAGTTGCCTTTGAATCTAAAAAGAATCACTTTAATCAATAGGTTTCATTTCCAGTTCGTATTCCTCTGTCATTTTCATTGTTCATCGTCCTTAAATCATATCGGAGCTGCGCAGAAACCTTGAGGACGGTTTTTTTTTTATTGCTAACGATGAACTTTAACCAATTAATGCTCACCGTCTATAGAATGTATACAAAGCTGAATTTAAACTAGCACAAGGCCAATGAGTCTGAGCACCCGATTAGACTCTAACCCACTGCCGAGACGAGCTTGTTAAACATGGCTTCTTCATAAAATTTTCCCTATAAATTCCATATTAGATTATGTTTGCTAACATCGATATATATGTTTATATCTGGTAAAAGACTATATGTTTGAAGTACGGAATATTGATTGTGATTAGTACAGCAATAAAGGTATATGAGTTTAGTTTGTCCATCATCATGCGCTATAGATATTTCGGCATTTCATTTTAATCTAACAAAATGGTTTATCATTAAGGGCCAAATTCCCTTTGATACAAGAACGTGATTCATAATTTTCCCATTTGCTATTTTAGCACTAAACCATAACAATGTGCTCTCAGTGTGAATCAAAATATTAATGCAATACACTTCCGACACAAACTCGATCATCTGCTCAAAAGAGGAACTTGCCGAAGCAAATGCCACGGCCTCAACGTTCTATGATTAAATATACTCTAGTACAGATAAATCACAATAACAAATAGAAAATAACCGTACGTTATCAAGTGAGTTGAGTGATGTGGTGTGCGACATCAGTGTTTAACTGCAACGTGATTTTAGGCATGGTTCCGCTTCATTCTGCTGTTACCATCGCTGTCAATTGCCAGAGGAGGTTCCGTCGTTGCATCGTCTGCAGGCACCTGTTTTCAGTGCCGCTGATGTCCATCGAATAATTTTCATATTCCTGGTATAAATCAGGATAATATTACCGAAGAAAATCATGGAGCACCTCGGAGCAACTGTGACTCATTTTTCTGACACCTCAAAGCCATTTCATAACTACACGATCACAGCTAACCTAGCTCTTTCCTTTTTTTAATTTTATTCGGTCGAGCTAGCTCGGACTTTCATGGGTCTATCCCACCAACTATCACGCCAACTATCACAGTTCTTTATGAAAGCCGGAAGGTCATTAGAGTGGTATTCTGTGTCATAACATAGCTGGTCAATGTAGGTTGTTTCTGGGTGACCAGCCCTTCTTGATCTCTGGCTAGGTCTCCTGAGAAGATATATTGGTAATGGTGTTTGCCGTGATAACTATCACGGCAAACACCATTACCAATGCCAGTTTTTCTACACCATAGAGAAAAAATGCTGCCTATGATGTTGGGCTCGATGTCAATGCTTCTTAATTCATCGGCTCCAACCAGAAAGGCTCAATACAAACTGCCTCAGGTGAATCAATGAAATATGTCGAATCTCTACATATCAAGAAAGCGAAATAAATTCTAGGGTGTAAAAATTCGCATAGCTAAGCCTGGGTTGCTTTGAATAAAATGGATGTAATCTGGAAATCTAGTCTACCAGACAATCTCAAACGGAGATTCTTTCAAGCCACTGTATGGTGCCGTTGCTTGGACATTAATTAAAACCCCCTAGAATCTGAGCTCGATGGAACCTACACTAGGATACTGAGACTTATACTTAACATCTCTTGGAGACAACATCCAACTAAATCAAGGATCCATCTATAGACCCAATCTTACAATCTAACGCGAGCGCGGAATGTGCTTTGCAGAAAACTGCTAATTAGTACAACAAGAACATCTACTTCTTTTCCTTATCATATCACACAAAAATAATTTATGGAGGCACGGTAGAGTAATGGATCCGAGGCGGATTGAAGAATCCGAGAGACGAGATCGTATTCGAGTCGAATTCATTACATTCACTTACGTGCTAATAAACTTTGGAAAGGTACGGATCTATCTCTTCTCCGCCCACAACTATGGGTAAATAGCAGGGTAGACTGGGTTCTATAGCCCTATTTGGCAAGCGGCCTACGAGAAGGATAACTCAAAATTATAACCAACTTGAAGAGGATTAGGTTCCGTCAGGATATCTTGCCCAAGACGCAAAATTTATGCTGCGACTGCAGTAGATGTCGTGTCCCTACGTCTCATGAGACACGTGATCGTGACATCATTTCTACAAGCTTGAAAGCGCCCAGTTCACTTTTGTTTCTATTTTTGTCTTTCTTGTCTATATCATTACCCTACAGACCAAAATGTCTGTGGTCACTCCCTGAATTTCGAAAAATCGCATAAAATATTAGAAGTACCGTTTTCAAAATTAATTTACAAGCACAAATCTAGCCAGAGAGACCATCTCTTCCTGAACAGTTTGCTCAAATGTTCAAAAATAACATAATAATAACATCAACGAAATTAAACAATTTTTGCTCAATATATCTTGTTGGTTCATGGTAATCTTGAGGTTAGCTGATTTGAAGATTTTAGATACCCCCACCACTTTTAAAAAAATTGGACGCCATTCCCTATCGGATATTTTTCAGTGCTCTCACGTCGCTAGCGAATGTGACACAAGGTCGAGGTTTATTAAAGTAGCTTTTACGCAATACAGTAGAAATATTGATTAAGCCTATTCGACACCACGTCACTTTTTTAAGGACACCTGAGGCGCTGGATAATGACTACCACCCCGACGGAGAGGTACTGCCTGGAGAGATGCCCCGTCTGGGACTTGAGTTAATATTATTTTCAAGGGGTCAAATAGTTTCAGAATCCTAGCTTAGTAGGAGTTAATTAAACCAAGAAGGCATGAAATAGTAATTATTAAATCCAGAATGTGTCTCCAATCGTTTACCTTATAGTTTAGTTCTGACTGGAAGGTAGCCAGCCATTTAATATTAAAAAATAATAGCCTACATGGGATAATGGCGCCTTAGTCCATGTTAAAGTAGTTATTTTCGAAATTTAGGCACTTTATTCTAGCGTCCATATCAGTTTTCAAAATGTCTAAATCTTTTTTTCGAATTATCACCTGCTGCGTTGTTGCATTCTCTTGAATCTAAGCCTTTTATTAATTATTTCATAGCAAGTAAGGCAATAAAGCCACTAAGGAGAAAGGGGATACTGAGTATTATAGAATATTAGAAAAAAAAAAGGAAAAATACTATTAAGGAGAGAGAATAATAAAAGAACAAGAAATTAAGAAGACAGAAGATAACGGTTGACATTGCGTTTAAAGTTTTGAAGATCAAAGTTGACTAAGAAGCCAGAAGGGAGTTCCACAATCGAGAAGTGCGATAGAGAAAACTGTTAGAAGAGAACTTAGATTTACATCTATCTATTTCAACTGTAAAATGACGAGAATTTGCCGCAAATCTGGTACTGCGCTTAAATATATAAAGTCTAGATACCATAGAGAAACGTTCGTCAGAACAATTACCATGAAAATATTTAGAGAAAAGACACAGTAAAAATACATTATGACAGTGGGAAAGTTGACTGAAGGCGAGATACCAGATCAGGACGAATAACATTGCAGATTCTTTGGATTTTATCAGGAATCTCTAAATGTATAACAGGAACACCAGACCAGTGTGGCAGCGATATTGAATACATGGAGGAATGGTAGATATTTAAATTTGTAAGATAAATTCGGGAGAGAAAAATTTTCTAGCAATATATAATGAACCAACTTTACTAGGAGTAGACGCAGTGATGCAAAATAAATTATTCCACTTCGTGTCAGCGGAGAAGGCGCGTCGAGTCAATCTTCTGAAGGTTAGCATCAGCCATACTGAGAAAAGGCAGAAAAGGGGTCTCTCAGATGACTGATAGGGATCAGTCGACTGAAATACCTGTCTTTACGATAATTTTAGCTTTGGTAAAAAACGCAATTCGCAAGTAGAACATTCGGTGTTTAGCGGTGTTAATATTGGCCGGTGGTGTGCCTCCAAATAAGATCCACACGAAATGAATTATTATTAAGAATAAGACAACAAACGGTGTCTGCCTGCCGAAGTGATAACCGCCGAGGGAGTGCCTGTTCCGACTTGCTCAGCAATCTCCCTTGGAATCGGTAATATCGATTCCGCGCAACCGATCCCCGAGATATTCATTGTGGCTGGATACTTTCCAGACAGATAGGTTTGCGTGTGTAGATAGATTATGAATTCGTTGGCGCTGCCCACGAAAGCGCGTAGGAAAACGTATTTTTTGATGTACTTGAACGCTAACGAAAAGGAAGTGTTTTATTTCAACGTGATCACTATCAAATAATGAAGAGTAAAGTCATCGCTTCAGTTCTTGCGACCGCTTATCAGGTAGCTTGGAACATCATTCAGCTTGACAATGAAACGCATTCAGCCAGTAGATAAGTCATCTTTGACAAGAAGCGCAAGGCTTCATTAAAACGAAATTTCAAATAATAATAATAATAATAATAAATTGCCAGATTGATAATATTTCAGCAAACAAATACACAGTAGCTTTCTATGAAGGAGAAAATAATTGGCTTGTATAATTGCTTTTGCTTCTCCGTCCCAAAATATTTCTTTGCCAATTATTTAACTTCAGGCAGACAAGGAACGCATCAAGTATCTGTCAAAACTGGTGATTTGCTGAGATATATACCAGAAAAAAGTTCGCTTCATTTTAAAAGACAGAAAATATTATGTATTAAATTTTAATGAGCATAACAATTTCTCAATATAATTTGATGAAAAGGAACACAGTACTAATCAGCAGACAGGTTACTTTCAAGTCCTCATGTTCAACCTCACAGCAGTACTAATAAAAAAGTAGATTAGGTCTGAGTTCTCAACAACAGCATCATCATCATCATCTTGCGGCCTCAGCCGAGATTGAACTCACCAATTGGTGTAGTTCATAATCTTGTCAAATAGCTGAATTTTTGATGCTTCGCTAGGGCTATCAAGGGTGTTTTTTTTTATCGTGACACCAACACTAAATGGATTGCCAACCAAGGCTCAGAGAGACTCCATTCACCCTCCTCTAAGAGCAGGCTTGAATTCAGAAACAACAACAGCAACACTAATTAGCAGGAAGGTTAGGTTTAAGGCTCCAATACCTCCTGAGAGAATTGTCCTACAAAAAATATAGGTTAGTGGTGAGATAGTAATCGTGGGTTCAATCTCTGGGCATAGTGACATATTGTAAGTTCATTCCTTGATTCCAAGTACACACCAGGATGTGTATATATGAACTCAGTGGAAATGGGGCGAACACTAACTGAGCATTATTAAAAATAAAAACGAGTCGAGATATAACCTAGACATGAGCAGTAGAACGAGAACAGTTCATTCTCGTAGTTTAAATAAAGGGTTTACTTCGGAATTTAACAGTATGTTAACCAGAACGATAAATATCTGAAGAAGGCCGATGGCACAACAGCCGAAACAACTACAGTATAAATTGGGAAAATAAAAGGAATATATGTTTTTTTAATCATTTCATCCAAGCAAGGCAATGAAGCCACTAAGACGCGGGGGTTTGCTGAGTGTAAAAGAATATGTGAAGAAAAGACATTATTAAAGAGAGAAAAATAGTAAAAGAAAGGGATTTTAGAAGACAATCCAAAGTAATACTGGATCTAAAAGGACATCGTAAAACTAAAACTAATTCAATAAGTAGTCACCATTAAAAAATAGTCACCCAGATCTCTTATTTATATATACTGATCGATCAAAAAAATAGAGTTACATACATACCAGATGTAACAGCAAAATTGTTCAAATCGTGTGAAAGCAAAATTGTCCAATTGTTAGCTAACAATTGGACAATTAAGCTCTGAACCGCTGTATTTTAGAAATAATTAAAGATATCTTACTGGAATTCTCCGAGTTTTTTTATAACACTATTAGACTCTGCTTAGAATGTTTAATTACTCTCCAAACTTAACAAGAATCGTGATGAAATCAGACATAAACGAAAATGACGTGTTCATCATTAATCATATAAAGTTCTAAGAATCGGAATATATATATATATATATTGAAATAAAGTTCAAATCATTTCTTATTCAAATGGACTTTGATGATGGAAACCAGAATATAAATGTTTATTTCACAGGTACCATTACTGAAATTGAGTTGATCCTGATTTCTTTTTAGCTCTAAAGTTGAATCCTTTTCTGTTTTGACCTCTTGAATCTACTTTCTGTGGTGACCTCTCTACCTTTTTTAAACTTATTCTTCTCTTGATGGTTCTTATTTTGATGATGGAAACCAGTATATAAATGTTGGTACCATTACTGATATATATATATATATATATATATATATATATATATATATATATATATATATATCCCCAGCTATGGGTTAATTAGTAATATTTGTATCACTAAACCATTATTATCTCCCAAAAATCATGTCACCATACTACGTGCATTTGGCTATGAAGCATGTGCTTGATATACCTTTATCAGATTTTGTCTGATGATGGGGATGTTCAGCTTCGTATCTTTATGCAACAGCATCATTTTATTAGGTTACTGAATAATAATAATAATAATAATAATAATAATAATAATAATAATAATAAAATTGTTCTCACGAGTACAGCCCGAACCTTACAAAGTGCTTTATCTATTTAAAATATGTTTGTGTTTTTTTCTTTTTTTTTCTTTTAACTGGACATTGGAAAATCTCATGATGCCATTTCTAACCTTAGGTCTCTAGGCGGGACCCGAAAAGAAATGTATAAACACCAGAAATCAAAGGAAATAATAATAATAATAATAATAATAATAATAATAATAATAATAATAATAATAATAACGCAATCAACAGCTTTCCCAAATTCAGAAGGTATACATACGATCGTGTTTAAATACTGATAGGACTTGCTGTTACTTGGTCACCATCTTGTAAGAGTGTCGGAAATTTTATTTTAAAATAATATAGCATAATTATGAGTGTTTAAGAGTAAGATTTGAGTTGAATAGCAGAGCTGACTGGGTCCTATAGCCTTGGTTAGCAACCAATCTACTGCAGAAAGGAAAGAAATGGCAAACTATTGCAGGAAAATCTTCTACCTAGTCAGTCATGAATCGAAAGAGACATGATCGCTCAAGCGTCTATCAAATGTCTTTTAAGTATAGTATACCACAGACTCCAATATTTACATTATTTGGACTATTGTCTTCATCTTTGTTGCCATATTTATCACAACCCTTTATTTCGCTCACTGGGGTAGACTGTTCTAGTTCCACATGCCATTTCTAATGGACATCAGTTATCAGTTATCGCCTGTTAATTCACCTCTCCACTGCCTTAACCAGGTATTAAACTCAAAACTTTTTGTGTCCTGTCACTGGATCTAACCAACGCCATCATCCACTGTGCCATGTGTCCTTAAGGATATTTGTGTATGAATTTCTGGGAGTTATAAACTTGATGTCATCAGCAACCATTTTTACCAGTGCTCATATAGCACAAACTCCCTTTCAGACTTCCAGATAGTACCCCTCCTTTGAGAGGGGGATCATTTACTCGGTGTTTGAGACGTCCCCAAAAGGCTGAGTGCCGTGGGGGCTTGAGCAATTTCTTCAAGGTATTGCGATTAAACCCATTTTAAACTGATCTTGTTTCACATTTGGTTGCAACGTGGGTGCACTGAAAAATCCACAGGGCACAAGGCCAGATTTCGTGAGCTCAAAAGTTGTAATTGTCTATAAATAAAACGATCATTTTCTCCATTCCCCGATAATAAGCGTCTGAATTTGTAATTTTTTTTTTTTTTTTAGATTTTTATTTACTAATGTTAGCCTAGTAAATACAATTCGGCAGCTATATTGCACTCGGGTAGGAAAGAATTAATTGCAGTCGTAATGTACAAGAAGACTGTTGTTCGCATTTGCTATACGGCGAATTTGGGTTTGACTTTCATTGCAAAAGCAACAGAAGGAATCGGGTTTTCAAAAAAAAGAAAAAAAAACAGATTTTAAGAGATTATTCTTTAAAATGCTGAGTACAAATTAGAAGCGTCCTACTTCGAGAAAAATGTTCCAGTAAATTTAATTTCAAATGTAGAAATCAGATCTGGCATAAAAGCCAGAATTAGCTTCTTTTTCAAAAATAAGAAAAAAAAAAAAAATAAAACGAACTTCTTTCTGATGAGTGACTGGAAAAGATATTAATTTATTTATGTCGTTGTAAAATCACAGGGAAGTCGTAAAAGTATATAACAGACGTGCTAAACATATCCCCCCCCCCCGACCTATGCTGCTTAATGAAATTTACCAACTTGTCCCGGTGGCCATTCCTTGTGAATTTGACCCTCTCAAGTTACCCGACTATTGTGACTAAGAAGCCAACAAATTTAAGTTTTGGGAAAATATACATTCTCCTGCGGTTGCTTAACCGCAGGAGAATGTATATTTTCCCAAAAATAATAATTAATATATTCGCCCAACAGGCATATTTAAAGTTTTCTATCCTCCCTAAGGGAAACAAGATTTAGGGTCTCTGCACCATGATTCTAATCTTTTAAAAATGTATATTATTTCGAGCAATGGTTCACAGATTAGTGTAAATGGTTTATTACTCGAGTTGAGATGTCAATTCGCTTTTAGTTTCATGCTTTAACATTCGATGTTTTTTTGAATCAGCGTCGAGTGCGTTCCCGAATAGTCTGAGCTACTGTCTGAGGGAGGAAGGTAGTTATGGGTAGGTGATTTGACCAAAATCTCATTCCCTCTGTTTCTTTATTATCAACAATCATGGTATTTTGGCGGCTATAAACACTTATCAAGATATCTAGTAGTGATTGAGAACGAAGGGAGAAATGGGTGCATGCCTTAACGAATAGCATTTGTGCGAAGGGATAGCTGAAATGTATCCAACATTTGATCTCTATCAATCCATTTCAATTTCTCTACTAATACTCCCGTCACACACACAAGTACACAAGTATATATATATGTATATATATTTATATATATATATATATATATTTGGTTGGATAGATGTGAGTTTGTGACCCTGGGTTTCACGCTTTAGCGATCGTCAGACAAACTCTATATATATATGCCGGGTGTAATGGCAAAAAATCAAATCGTGTATATATATATATATATATATATATATATATATATATATATATATATATATGCCGGTGTAATGGAAAAATTGTTCAAATTGTCTAACAGCATGGGATAATTGTTCATTCCACGAGTTTTCAGATGCGACGGTTGAAACCATTTCTCGTAAGAATCACTGAAAGCTCTTTGAGTTATTCAGTTAGAAAGAGAACCGGTTAAAATCGGTATACATATATATATATATATATGTGTGTGTGTGTGTGTGTTTGTGTGTGTGTGTCTGTGTGTCTGTGTGTGTCTGTGTCTGTGTGTAAATATTCTCAGATGAAGTGTATCTGTAGAAAGGCCAAAATGAACAAAAAGAGACAAGAGGGAAAGAAATACTCAGCCCACGCATTTTGCCCTCTGAAGGACTTTATCAAGGTAATGAAGTATTTATTATATTGCACGTGTTTGTATACACAGAGGCGATGGATGTCAAGATTTGTAAATTTGAGAACGTTCATGAATATTCATGAGGTGGTTGAAAGGTCAGTTAAAGCATGTTAATTTACGCGCACATTAACCATTGGGAAAGTTATGAACCTACCTCTTCTCTAACCAGCGATTACTGTGGTAATTAGTAATACTTGTATCACTAAATCATTATAATCTCAAAAATAAAAACTTATTACAATCAAAAAATATTTTAAATAATCTGGAAAGGGTTGATAAGCCGTAAAACACGGATTATTCTTTCAATCAAACATTTAACCTAGTTCAATAAATATATGTTAATCTGGCTAGTGGGTATCGACTAATCTCATGGAATCTTATTGCCGTCGTAAGCTATATCCAAAATCTGATTTATTCTGTAGCCACCGCGGGATTGGATTATCATCACTCAGTTGCGCCTCTGTCTTTTAGAAGAGTGCGGCTCAGTTGTGGCTCTGTCCGCGGACAGAGACGCAGCTAGGGAAAATAAACTAAGGTGCCCGTTCCCAGGGAAGAGCTGCCTGAGTCTGAACTCCTCATTGCAGTAGAGAGCAGGGATCGGTAGTCGCTACCGAGGCCAGCACCACCGACAGTTGCGGGAACTGAGCAATTTTTGTCCTTGGCCCGGGTGTACATGCTCGGGTATTCCATGTTAAACCCGACCTTGCGTTACATCTCGTTTCAGCGCGGAGACCGGGCTAAAAAAAAAAAAAAAAAAAAAACGATTCCCTGTGCCTGGCTTGTGTTGAATCAACAATTGAATCAAAATCTTAGGGCGCCTAGTGTAGAGCGACAGCTAATGAAATCATACCACAGAGATAATCCTTACCGTAATACGTTCGAAATTCACTAAATGCGTTAAGTTTGTTTCGCAGGTTCGCATTAAGCTAAGGTTCTTCTACTGCCAGTACCATGTAACCCAGTACTACTTGCCATGTGGTCAGTTCGTTGGCGACTGAACCGATCCCTCTCCTCCAGGTTTTATTTTTTCTGATCGCTCGGCACTCAGTAGGATTAATATCCAGACCTGTCAAAGGGCGATTGAACCTTTTTGCAGGGACAACGACCATCTACCACAATGTTGTAAGCTGGGCTCCTTACCTATGCACGCTGATAGTGCAGTGATGACATGGTATCCCTTGACGGGGCGTTTTCTAGAATTAAGTTAACAGCCAGAACGTAGGGTTTCCCAGATGTAACAAAAAGACCACGTGTCGGTAACTAAGACGAGACTTCATGCAGGAGGACGTAGGCTGTGGTCTGACCTGCTGAAGGGGGATGATATACTTCCCTAAGATACACTAGACATGAACGAATGCCGCACTGGTTTTCGACCGATATATGTGCACGTACTGATCAGGTACTCATTTGCGCAATAATCACAGACCACACCCAGTCTAGAGACTGATGATGAGGATGATGAGGATGATGATGGTGAAATATGAATATTGGATGATTCTCTGGTTTACAATTAGGCTAAAAATCACCACAACAAAAAAGTTTCAATTGCACAGGCACGCACGCACACACACACGCATACATACATACATACATATATATATATATATATATATATATATATATATATATATAATAAAAAATTCATGACATATGCATGCTATAAGATGACTACAAAAGTTTCGACACTTCTGGTGTCTTACTTCGATATATATATATATATATATATATATATATATATATATATATATATATATATATATATATATATAAGTAAATAAGATAAATATAGTATTTTAGATATGTATAAATAACAAATATAAATAATATGAGTTAATCATATTTGAATACCCCTTTAAGAAAATCTCGATGTAGTTTTAAAAAGCGAATAAATAAAAAAATGAAAATGCCAAATATATTGCAATATAAACCTAAATAAGAAAAAAGCAAACATTAATGATAGGATAGCTTGAAAGGAAGTCAGTATAGACAGGCAGAAATCTTAAAACCCCACCCAACCTTAACCGACTTGCCACACAAAAACACACTTGGTTTCTTCATTCGTAAAAAGCCAACAGCGCCTTAATAAAAAAAAATGGTAATTCTCTTTACCCCAGCAACTTAAAATAAAAAATTATGGTTTAATTTAAAAATAGAGTAAAGCAATTTTTTTCAAAGTTATTCTTCGCATCCATCGAAAATGGAACCGAGCTACGAATTTTAAGTTTAATTTTTAAGTTAAATTTTAAGATTTAATTTTCCGTTTCGAAACATAGTAATTTCTATGTTGCGAAGGAGATATATTTTTAAATAATGATTTTAATATACATACATACATACATACATATATATATATATATATATATATATATATATATATATATATATATATATATAAATTCGTTACAAACGACTGACAAGGAACTGCTGTTAAGTTTTTTAATTACTTATTACTACGAATTTTAAGTTTAATTTTTAAGTTAAATTTTAAAATTTAATTTTCCGTTTCGAAACATAGTAATTTCTATGTTGCGAAGGAGATATATTTTAAATAAGGATTTTAATATACATACATACATACATACATACATATATATATATATATATAAATTCGTTACAAACGACTGACAAGGAACTGCTGTTAAGTTTTTTAATTACTTATTCTTATGTATTTTATTTCTGGACATAAGTTATGTAGAAATTATCCGAAATATTTTGTATGTCCGAGCACTTTCGGCTATACTTTTAGCCATTATCAAGGAGGATTTTATTTTTACTTTTAACTAAATGTGTGGATATTTTTATGCATCTATTTATAATTATAAGAATGTTTTATTTTCCAAAAACGATCAGCACATTGTAGCCGTGTTCATAGTTGATGCCATTTTGTGTTGGCTTTTTTCTTTTCTTTTTTTATTAATAATGATTTTCCATTAATTTTAGCCATTTTTGTAAGTGGAGGAGGCTATTATATTTGTATTGTCAACGAGTATGATACAGATGGATGTTGGTAGGCCTCCGTGTGTATTTAAATGAAACCTAATTGAACTATGGTCAGAGAGATGTAATGTAAGTCTTCTTGTTAGGCATGTTGTAGTATATCCAATATAATTATTTATGAATTTGGTTTGAAGCATACTTATAACTCTAAGTAAGTAAGACTCTATTTTCCCAATTTAAGGAAAGCACATTCTCTTCACTCAGATTATTCTTCTGAAAGTCCATATATGCTGTTTCCTATCCAAAACTTAAACAAAGCAATTTCTAAAGAATTAATTCTTTAGAAATTGGATTCGATATTTTTATTATTTTTATGGCGTCTATTTCAAATAGGATGTGTCCGCTATAATAACGTTTGTATATAAAATACCTGATTAAAAATAAATCCATTAAGTCTTTATATTTTCGAGTGTACAGCTTAAGTAGATATAGATAGGACGACTATATGAATCAAGATTGCATAGTGTTAGACAGTTTCACGCTTAATGTTACCACCAAATCAATTTCATGACTTTGTCAAGCATCAGTGCATGGAGTCTTGATCGCTATTTCCACTGTGATTTATTTGGCTTATAAGCGTTTATAATTGTTTTATAAATTTTTGCTCTTTTTTGAGTTGAAGGAATAACATTTTATTGTTTAAAACCAATGTGAGACAAAAAAGATTTTAAAATGATCGTCTTACGCCTTACAATTATCAAACCTACCGAAATATTTTAATTACAAAAATTGTTCCTATCTATCTATCTATCTATCTATGTGCGCACAAGTATCGCTTAAAACAGTGACATCAAATAAATGCGGTTTTAGATATTTATCAATACGTCCACTCGAACGGAATATGGTACATGACCGAGTTTAAAAGTTTGAGTCCCACGCGTGCAAGGGATAAAAGTCCCAATATAGTTCAGCCCCCTCGATATTTCCCGTTTGGGGACGCTTCTGGCGCCAGAAATTAAACCTAATCTTCTCCTATGGGATAAGTATTGCCAGGGGAAGACTTTCTTGGGTTGATCTTAATAACTGTAAACCCACATTAAAATGAGAATTGTATTGTTTATATATTTCATGATATATTATTATTAAACTTGGCGGTTCTTTCTTCAGAATTAGTTGTTTTGTTATTTGCATGCAATCTAGTTTTTGTGTAACGTTTTGCTGATGGATTCTTTAATTATATTCGTTAGTTAATTAAATAATGTGAAATAGTAATGACATTAGTATCTAGATCACAGCTTGAGAGTAAAGTAAGCAATAATTAAGGGTGAGTAAAACTTGTTGACATTTAATTGTATCTTTCAAAATGTTAAAACACTAATTATTCTTTTCGGAAATTTCTTTGAATTTTTCTTGTTTCATTCGTTTTAAACAATAAAAATTATATAGAATATTTTAGTTTTAAAATGTAGAATATTTTAGTTATAAAACTAAAATATGTTATTTAATTTTGTTTATAAACGTTTATAATTGTTTTATGAATTTTTGATCTTTTTGGAGTTGAAGGAATAACAATATTCTATTGTTTAAAACGAATGAAACGTGTGTGTGTTTAACAAAAAAGATTTTAAAATGATCGTCTTACACTTTACGATTATTAAACCTACGAAATGTTTTAATTACAATAATTATTCTCAGTAAAGATAGATAGATAGATAGATAGATAGATAGATAGATAGATAGATAGATAATGAACAGGTCGTGATAGATAGACAGTATGCGCAA